AAAGGCTCAACGTGCTGACAGGCTGTGCACCAGCCTGTATGCTCTCGGGAGGGCACAGAACAGGGTGATGACGCAATGCATTGAGAATGCAGGCGCAGCTTTGTCACCATGTGACAAGAAGCATCCCTGCTGACAAGACCACCAAGTACATTAAGAAAAAGTAGATAATTTGGGTATGTGCAGACACCCCTATATGCGCATATTCGTTTTTTTCCACTGTTATAAGCTGGCAGAGGCTCTTTTAAGTCCATAAAATACAAAACAACTATTGTAAGCGTACCCAGTTTTTTTTCATGCCCCCACATTCCCTGTGAGCTAGATGCACAATGCTTTATTGCACACCAGCAAGAATTGAAGGTGACCTGATGAAACCAAAATTTAACAGATGGGATATTTCCAAAATTTAGAACTCATAAGGTCTTTGCAAGCTTCATAAGCTACTTGAATTAGATTGCCTGGGTGAGATACACTGATAAGTGCAAGTTATTAGCAGAAAAAAAAAAAGTCATGAAGTGACAATACATCCCCGAGGAACCGATTTTACTCTACTTCACCAAGTGTTCATTCTAAATTATAGATCGCTAGGTAGATAATTCATTAATTCCATTATTTATCTGTGCCACGCAGCAAAAGAGGGGGGTGAAAGTTAATTGGACAGAACTGCAGGAGAGACGGAAATCTGTTGCCAGTCATTTATCATAGAGAAGTCAAAAGGGCCTTTAACAACAATGCGCACGCTGCAGAGCAAAGATTACCCTTCCAGATGATCAGAGCATCACGGAACGAGCAACACAATTAAAAGAACTAATTGAACTTCCTTACTGGGAGTATGAGCATCTGGCGATGTGTTTAGTAACTGCTGCACTTACGCAGCCACTAACTGACAGAAATTGGTTTATTCTTGCTGATCTTCTCAAAGAAATACTCCCAAGTTCATTCTGTTTAAGCTGAACTTCAGGAAAGTGGCAAGACACACAGCTAAAATACATTTGTAGGAGCTGCTTTTCCTGTCAAAGGATTTTTATTTCTTTATGGTCAGTCCTGAGATTTATACAGCGAGGTTTATGACCAGCATTTTTTTTGTTTCAAAGTTTTTATTGAATTTTTACGGTATATGTCATTATGTCATACAATAATCACATAGAAAATAGTGTATTGTACAGTCATAGATGAGACATAGTAAATACATAAAAAATCTTACTACATCTAGAAGGTCAATAGTTGAGTGTCTCAAGAAAGCAAAGCAAAGAGGAGCAGAATTCAAAGAAATAGAATGTACGTAAGAGTGTACAAAAAGAAAAAAATCGACAAAAGAAGGAAGGCAAAGAAGAGAAGAAAAGTATGAGGGGTAGTACCGGGGTCTTCTAAGTTTTAAGGTATTAGGTTCAAAAGTCTAGAAAGCTGATAGATTATTCGAAGATAGAGAGGGGTGGGCGTAATCAATCCATTGTTGCCAGATTTTTGTAAAGCTTTTATTAGTATCCAGAAGGATGCTTGTCAGTTTTTCATTCAGAAATAAGAAATCTATCCACCAGTTGACTTCGTCAAATGATACAAATTGTTGTTTTCCAGGCAGAGGCGATAGCCTATTTAGCCGCCAGCAGAAGATGCGTGGCTATGCGGTGTTGGTTTTTGGTGAGAAGCGGGGACTTGAGGTGTAGTAAGGCCAGCCATGAATCCTTACGGAGTGCCACCGATGACCGGCATTTTTATCTACTATAGTTAAAAGAAGAACTATGAGGTGAATGATTTCCACTCATGCTCATAGTTAGAGCCGACCTGTGACAAAGAAGCTGTCACAGGTCGGCTCTATCGATTGGGAAGCGAGAAGAAACATGCACCGATCCACTCACTTCCCAATCATGTCCCTGCAGTGAGCGGTGACTGTCAGTTACCGCTCCCCGTAGGGATTCCCCTCTCCGATCTTCCAGCGATGAGTGGAGGAACGAACAGGGGAGGGGGCGGGCAGAGCCAGCTGTCACTCACGCAGCTGGGTGGATCTCGACAGTATTGTCAGGATCGATCCTGGCGCTCTGAGTATATAGCGGGCAGTAGCCCACGATATACTGAGCTTTGGGTCACGGGAGGAGGTTCATATATGAAAAAACTTACCCCATAGTTCTATTTTAAGCAATACAGACTGATCATCTACCTGCCCCACACTGTGATTGAACAGTGAAGAAGCAACAGGCTGATGGGATCATCCTTCTGCTCACTCTGCTTCCCCCCCCCCCCCCCCCCCCCCCAGCTCGCCCGCGGC